CGGTCGGCCAGTGCCGCTTTCACCCACTTCCATTGGCTTCTAGGTATTTTCCCCTCCGCGCTGCCGTTGTCGAGAACGCCTATCAGCGTCCTCTCCTTGGCAATCTGCGCGAAGGATACGTTTGGTATCACCCTGGAGCGCTTCGCGGCAGGTCCGGGCGTCTCTTGAGAGCGCTGCCTCTTCGGTTGTGCTGCCACCTTCTGTGGCTCCACACTGAAGTTGGGCAACACCGCCGAGGCCCATTCCGGCGTTCTGCCGATGGAGTATGTGGCCAGCACTCCTCTTTTCGGCATAGCTATATTTCCTGGTTTGGACACTGGTTGATGGTAAGCCATCACCCGCCGCTTCACCGGAAGGTTGGGCAGCCGCAATATTGCTTAGCTGCCCTACCATGGTATCAGTTTTGGGTGTTGGCTTTCCACCCATCCCAGATTTGGGATGGGACCCACCCGGGTTCATACCTGCATATTGGGGCTGGGATGTGGGTAGGTAATGTGTAGGGATGGGAGTGTGTGAGCTACTTAATGAAAACCCGCTGGCTGTCCGGGACTGCTTATTTCCGGTACTCTCCCTCAGAGCCAACTTAGTTGATTCTCTTTGGGATGCCCGCTTATTCGCAGCTGACCTCCCCACTAGGGTAGGCCGTTCGCTATCCGCAACCTGCGACCCGTCCGGTGGTCTCAGCTAGGCCCCCTCTGAGCCACCACAAAGCCCAATAGGATCATCGGATATATGCATGTAACAGTCATACGATTTTCCCACACTGTTCAGAACCTTTAATCAGCATCATTATTTTCTTGAGCTGATTGTCCACCTCCTGGTTCTGTCACCTTAATTTCAGAAAAATTCGTATTATCCACATTGCGGCAATCGCAGAATCATAAGGAATTATCTAATATTTCATAATATGAGGAAAACTTAACAACCATTGCTTGCGTGATTCGGCGTTGGAGACAATTCGATCGTTAGAACTCTCGGATGGAAACTATAACATGGCATTAGAGTTATTGGAAAAGACATTGGAAACCGTAGATTTCGCTATGGCAACTTATGCGCCGAGCAGTCAGGTTGGCAGAAGTACAAAAACTAACCATTCTATGGTTAGTGTTAAATCCCACACAATTTAAAAATCGGCTATAAAAAGGCACGTGTCGATTGATGTAAGAAAAGTATACAAAAATACAATCGTGGTGGTTCAAAAGCTGTGTATAATATGTACACGATGGATTTTTTTTAAGCGAGTCAAATACCATAACAACTTTCAAAACGAACCATTTTAAGTCAAGTCCCTGTTTAGTCGGAAACTGGTCAAAAACAACTGGTCATATCGCAATTTTTTCGATAGAGAAAAGGAAGGAAGATCATCATCAAGATAATCATATTTTGGCCATACCACAATATGAGCTCTTCTTGAGCACCCAAAACATTGAATCAGGGCTATCTTACCTTGAGATATGTCCTCACATCAAATAGGCCCTTTTTGTTCCCAGCTTTACATATAATTGAGTGTTCAACGTTTTTTGACGACGAGAGAAGTTGATTAAGCCTTGTTTTGGAGATACTTTCTTCTGAGTGCCAAAACTGCGAAACTTTTAAAATGTTACAAAATAGGGTTTTAGACGCCTAAGATGTGTTTTTCATAATTTTTCAGAAACTTAAAAATAGTATGTAGATGACTTATTTCATGCTTTTCCCCATATATTGTTGGTCTCAGACTCTTCAATTTAAGTGTACTGGAATAGGATAATACGGCAACACTTGCCAATGATGCGCCGCATGATTAAAAATGCGGTCGTATCACTGTCTTCTTCTATCCATAGGGCCCTTATGGGCATCATTGTCGCATGTTCCATTTAACGGAAAAATCCAATGATGCGGCCCGGTGTAAAAAGGCTAGTAGATAATATACTAAATCATTAGATCTGGGGTGTTCATTTAACAGATGTATAGATGTACATATATTAGGTTCAGCTAAAAAAATGTTTTTTTGAAATTTAAACGGGACACCCCTTTATTTTGTTATCTTTAGTTTGATAGTAATATTAAAGTTTTTATTTTTATTTAAAAAAACTTTTTAGAGGTTGCTACCGAATTTTACAAAATTTTTGAAACAAAAAAGTTCAAACATTTTTTTCTTTCATGTGGTGAAATCTGTTTCATATATATTGTGATACCATTAATATCGGCATTAATTAGTTATTGGCAGTAAAAAAACCTGCACAAGTTTTTGCGAACTAGTTAACTAAATATATCAACCAAAGCTGAACTTCTTGATATTCACCAACCGTTAATTTTTTAACAGTGACTAAAAAAAAAATAATTATTATCAATATGAACTAGTTTCTAAGTTTCATATTATTTGAAAAGACCGACGAAAAACATTTTTAAAATTTTATTTAATAACGAACAGAAAGTCCGCTTGAAAAAACAAAACAATAAAATTGTTCATCAAATTTTGGCCCAGCATTATGTATATGCATGTAACAGTCATACGATTTACCCACACTGTTCACAACTTATATTTTTAATCAGCATCAGTATTTTCTTGAGCTGATTGTCCACATCCTGGTCCTGTCACCTTAATTTCAGAAAAATTCGTATTATCCACATTGCGGCAATCGCAGAATCATAAGGAATTATCTAATATTTCATAATATGAGGAAAACTTAACAAACATATATTTTAAGTGATTCTAATATATTTTCTTTATATATATTTAAGATTGGAACTTCACTCGGAGAGCGGAAATAACAAGCCAGAACTAATATTCATGGACCAAGTAGAGGACATTTCATCTGAGTTTATTTTACACAAAAACGAAAATTGCATTCAAATTCGCATTAATGATGGTAGTCGAGATGGTAGGATTGTTTTAACGAACTCTGTAAGAAATTCAAAACTATTATATTTTAAACTGTTATAAAAATACCAATAATGTTTTTTCAGGATGAAATCGGATTAAAGGAATGGGCGTCATCTTTGAGATCCGCGCACAAAATGTCGCAAGATCTCTTAGGATCAATGGCTAAAAAAGCTGGAAAAATTTATGGTAGTGAACGAGATGCCAACAAATCTATATATATTTTAGGGGGTAATTGTTCAACGAAATCGTCTAATGGGTCTAATTAATTATTTAACAATTTATGTACAACAATTACTGCTATGTAAAACGATGTAGAGGTATACACAATGGAAATAAATTTGGAGAGATTCCTAAAAACCCACCTCATCTTTAAATTTTTAATTTAAAAATATATTATATTATTATTATATTGTTAATAGAAATGGGTTTGCCTTAAAGCTCATAGTAAACTAGATAGTGAAATTGAGGTAAAGTTCTGTTCTGTTACTGTTCAAGAGCCCTACATAAGGGCTTGTTACTCTCGTAATTGCTGTGTTTTTGCGTGTTAAATCCCACATAATTTAAAAATCGGCTATAAAAAGGCACGTGTCGATTGATGTAAGAAATGTATACAAAAATACAATCGTGGTGGTTCAAAAGCTGTGTATAATATGTACACGATGACGAATCGTGGATATATAAATCGTAATGTGTATAATGTATATCGTATATGTATATCGTATATAAATGACGAATCGTGGATATATAAATATGATCCCGAAAAATAAACAGTAATCGACGGTATGGATTTTGTAAAAGCGAGTCAAATACCATAACAACTTTCAAAACGAACCATTTTAAGTCAAGTCCCTGTTTAGTCGGAAACTGGTCAAAAACAACTGGTCATATCGCAATTTTTTCGATAGAGAAAAGGAAGGAAGATCATCATCAAGATAATCATATTTTGGCCATACCACAATATGAGCTCTTCTTGAGCACCCAAAACATTGAATCAGGGCTATCTTACCTTGAGATATGTCCTCACATCAAATAGGCCCTTTTTGTTCCCAGCTTTACATATAATTGAGTGTTCAACGTTTTTTGACGACGAGAGAAGTTGATTAAGCCTTGTTTTGGAGATACTTTCTTCTGAGTGCCAAAACTGCGAAACTTTTAAAATGTTACAAAATAGGGTTTTAGACGCCTAAGATGTGTTTTTCATAATTTTTCAGAAACTTAAAAATAGTATGTAGATGACTTATTTCATGCTTTTCCCCATATATTGTTGGTCTCAGACTCTTCAATTTAAGTGTACTGGAATAGGATAATACGGCAACACTTGCCAATGATGCGCCGCATGATTAAAAATGCGGTCGTATCACTGTCTTCTTCTATCCATAGGGCCCTTATGGGCATCATTGTCGCATGTTCCATTTAACGGAAAAATCCAATGATGCGGCCCGGTGTAAAAAGGCTAGATTAGATCTGGGGTGTTCATTTAACAGATGTATAGATGTACATATATTAGGTTCAGCTAAAAAAATGTTTTTTTGAAATTTAAACGGGACACCCCTTTATTTTGTTATCTTTAGTTTGATAGTAATATTAAAGTTTTTATTTTTATTTAAAAAAAACTTTTTAGAGGTTGCTACCGAATTTTACAAAATTTTTGAAACAAAAAAGTTCAAACATTTTTTTCTTTCATGTGGTGAAATCTGTTTCATATATATTGTGATACCATTAATATCGGCATTAATTAGTTATTGGCAGTAAAAAAACCTGCACAAGTTTTTGCGAACTAGTTAACTAAATATATCAACCAAAGCTGAACTTCTTGATATTCACCAACCGTTTATTTTTTAACAGTGACTAAAAAAAAAATAATTATTATCAATATGAACTAGTTTCTAAGTTTCATATTATTTGAAAAGACCGACGAAAAACATTTTTAAAATTTTATTTAATAACGAACAGAAAGTCCGCTTGAAAAAACAAAACAATAAAATTGTTCATCAAATTTTGGCCCAGCATTATGTATATGCATGTAACAGTCATACGATTTACCCACACTGTTCACAACTTATATTTTTAATCAGCATCAGTATTTTCTTGAGCTAATTGTCCACATCCTGGTCCTGTCACCTTAATTTCAGAAAAATTCGTATTATCCACATTGCGGCAATCGCAGAATCATAAGGAATTATCTAATATTTCATAATATGAGGAAAACTTAACAAACATATATTTTAAGTGATTCTAATATATTTTCTTTATATATATTTAAGATTGGAACTTCACTCGGAGAGCGGAAATAACAAGCCAGAACTAATATTCATGGACCAAGTAGAGGACATTTCATCTGAGTTTATTTTACACAAAAACGAAAATTGCATTCAAATTCGCATTAATGATGGTAGTCGAGATGGTAGGATTGTTTTAACGAACTCTGTAAGAAATTCAAAACTATTATATTTTAAACTGTTATAAAAATACCAATAATGTTTTTTCAGGATGAAATCGGATTAAAGGAATGGGCGTCATCTTTGAGATCCGCGCACAAAATGTCGCAAGATCTCTTAGGATCAATGGCTAAAAAAGCTGGAAAAATTTATGGTAGTGAACGAGATGCCAACAAATCTATATATATTTTAGGGGTAATTGTTCAACGAAATCGTCTAATGGGTCTAATTAATTATTTAACAATTTATGTACAACAATTACTGCTATGTAAAACGATGTAGAGGTATACACAATGGAAATAAATTTGGAGAGATTCCTAAAAACCCACCTCATCTTTAAATTTTTAATTTAAAAATATATTATATTATTATTATATTGTTAATAGAAATGGGTTTGCCTTAAAGCTCATAGTAAACTAGATAGTGAAATTGAGGTAAAGTTCTGTTCTGTTACTGTTCAAAAGCCCTACATAAGGGCTTGTTACTCTCGTAATTGCTGTGTTTTTGCGTGTTAAATCCCACATAATTTAAAAATCGGCTATAAAAAGGCACGTGTCGATTGATGTAAGAAATGTATACAAAAATACAATCGTGGTGGTTCAAAAGCTGTGTATAATATGTACACGATGACGAATCGTGGATATATAAATCGTAATGTGTATAATGTATATCGTATATGTATATCGTATATAAATGACGAATCGTGGATATATAAATATGATCCCGAAAAATAAACAGTAATCGACGGTATGGATTTTGTAAAAGCGAGTCAAATACCATAACAACTTTCAAAACGAACCATTTTAAGTCAAGTCCCTGTTTAGTCGGAAACTGGTCAAAAACAACTGGTCATATCGCAATTTTTTCGATAGAGAAAAGGAAGGAAGATCATCATCAAGATAATCATATTTTGGCCATACCACAATATGAGCTCTTCTTGAGCACCCAAAACATTGAATCAGGGCTATCTTACCTTGAGATATGTCCTCACATCAAATAGGCCCTTTTTGTTCCCAGCTTTACATATAATTGAGTGTTCAACGTTTTTTGACGACGAGAGAAGTTGATTAAGCCTTGTTTTGGAGATACTTTCTTCTGAGTGCCAAAACTGCGAAACTTTTAAAATGTTACAAAATAGGGTTTTAGACGCCTAAGATGTGTTTTTCATAATTTTTCAGAAACTTAAAAATAGTATGTAGATGACTTATTTCATGCTTTTCCCCATATATTGTTGGTCTCAGACTCTTCAATTTAAGTGTACTGGAATAGGATAATACGGCAACACTTGCCAATGATGCGCCGCATGATTAAAAATGCGGTCGTATCACTGTCTTCTTCTATCCATAGGGCCCTTATGGGCATCATTGTCGCATGTTCCATTTAACGGAAAAATCCAATGATGCGGCCCGGTGTAAAAAGGCTAGTAGATAATATACTAAATCATTAGATCTGGGGTGTTCATTTAACAGATGTATAGATGTACATATATTAGGTTCAGCTAAAAAAATGTTTTTTTGAAATTTAAACGGGACACCCCTTTATTTTGTTATCTTTAGTTTGATAGTAATATTAAAGTTTTTATTTTTATTTAAAAAAACTTTTTAGAGGTTGCTACCGAATTTTACAAAATTTTTGAAACAAAAAAGTTCAAACATTTTTTTCTTTCATGTGGTGAAATCTGTTTCATATATATTGTGATACCATTAATATCGGCATTAATTAGTTATTGGCAGTAAAAAAACCTGCACAAGTTTTTGCGAACTAGTTAACTAAATATATCAACCAAAGCTGAACTTCTTGATATTCACCAACCGTTTATTTTTTAACAGTGACTAAAAAAAAAATAATTATTATCAATATGAACTAGTTTCTAAGTTTCATATTATTTGAAAAGACCGACGAAAAACATTTTTAAAATTTTATTTAATAACGAACAGAAAGTCCGCTTGAAAAAACAAAACAATAAAATTGTTCATCAAATTTTGGCCCAGCATTATGTATATGCATGTAACAGTCATACGATTTACCCACACTGTTCACAACTTATATTTTTAATCAGCATCAGTATTTTCTTGAGCTGATTGTCCACATCCTGGTCCTGTCACCTTAATTTCAGAAAAATTCGTATTATCCACATTGCGGAAATCGCAGAATCATAAGGAATTATCTAATATTTCATAATATGAGGAAAACTTAACAAACATATATTTTAAGTGATTCTAATATATTTTCTTTATATATATTTAAGATTGGAACTTCACTCGGAGAGCGGAAATAACAAGCCAGAACTAATATTCATGGACCAAGTAGAGGACATTTCATCTGAGTTTATTTTACACAAAAACGAAAATTGCATTCAAATTCGCATTAATGATGGTAGTCGAGATGGTAGGATTGTTTTAACGAACTCTGTAAGAAATTCAAAACTATTATATTTTAAACTGTTATAAAAATACCAATAATGTTTTTTCAGGATGAAATCGGATTAAAGGAATGGGCGTCATCTTTGAGATCCGCGCACAAAATGTCGCAAGATCTCTTAGGATCAATGGCTAAAAAAGCTGGAAAAATTTATGGTAGTGAACGAGATGCCAACAAATCTATATATATTTTAGGGGTAATTGTTCAACGAAATCGTCTAATGGGTCTAATTAATTATTTAACAATTTATGTACAACAATTACTGCTATGTAAAACGATGTAGAGGTATACACAATGGAAATAAATTTGGAGAGATTCCTAAAAACCCACCTCATCTTTAAATTTTTAATTTAAAAATATATTATATTATTATTATATTGTTAATAGAAATGGGTTTGCCTTAAAGCTCATAGTAAACTAGATAGTGAAATTGAGGTAAAGTTCTGTTCTGTTACTGTTCAAGAGCCCTACATAAGGGCTTGTTACTCTCGTAATTGCTGTGTTTTTGCGTGTTAAATCCCACATAATTTAAAAATCGGCTATAAAAAGGCACGTGTCGATTGATGTAAGAAATGTATACAAAAATACAATCGTGGTGGTTCAAAAGCTGTGTATAATATGTACACGATGACGAATCGTGGATATATAAATCGTAATGTGTATAATGTATATCGTATATGTATATCGTATATAAATGACGAATCGTGGATATATAAATATGATCCCGAAAAATAAACAGTAATCGACGGTATGGATTTTGTAAAAGCGAGTCAAATACCATAACAACTTTCAAAACGAACCATTTTAAGTCAAGTCCCTGTTTAGTCGGAAACTGGTCAAAAACAACTGGTCATATCGCAATTTTTTCGATAGAGAAAAGGAAGGAAGATCATCATCAAGATAATCATATTTTGGCCATACCACAATATGAGCTCTTCTTGAGCACCCAAAACATTGAATCAGGGCTATCTTACCTTGAGATATGTCCTCACATCAAATAGGCCCTTTTTGTTCCCAGCTTTACATATAATTGAGTGTTCAACGTTTTTTGACGACGAGAGAAGTTGATTAAGCCTTGTTTTGGAGATACTTTCTTCTGAGTGCCAAAACTGCGAAACTTTTAAAATGTTACAAAATAGGGTTTTAGACGCCTAAGATGTGTTTTTCATAATTTTTCAGAAACTTAAAAATAGTATGTAGATGACTTATTTCATGCTTTTCCCCATATATTGTTGGTCTCAGACTCTTCAATTTAAGTGTACTGGAATAGGATAATACGGCAACACTTGCCAATGATGCGCCGCATGATTAAAAATGCGGTCGTATCACTGTCTTCTTCTATCCATAGGGCCCTTATGGGCATCATTGTCGCATGTTCCATTTAACGGAAAAATCCAATGATGCGGCCCGGTGTAAAAAGGCTAGTAGATAATATACTAAATCATTAGATCTGGGGTGTTCATTTAACAGATGTATAGATGTACATATATTAGGTTCAGCTAAAAAAATGTTTTTTTGAAATTTAAACGGGACACCCCTTTATTTTGTTATCTTTAGTTTGATAGTAATATTAAAGTTTTTATTTTTATTTAAAAAAAACTTTTTAGAGGTTGCTACCGAATTTTACAAAATTTTTGAAACAAAAAAGTTCAAACATTTTTTTCTTTCATGTGGTGAAATCTGTTTCATATATATTGTGATACCATTAATATCGGCATTAATTAGTTATTGGCAGTAAAAAAACCTGCACAAGTTTTTGCGAACTAGTTAACTAAATATATCAACCAAAGCTGAACTTCTTGATATTCACCAACCGTTAATTTTTTAACAGTGACTAAAAAAAAATAATTATTATCAATATGAACTAGTTTCTAAGTTTCATATTATTTGAAAAGACCGACGAAAAACATTTTTAAAATTTTATTTAATAACGAACAGAAAGTCCGCTTGAAAAAACAAAACAATAAAATTGTTCATCAAATTTTGGCCCAGCATTATGTATATGCATGTAACAGTCATACGATTTACCCACACTGTTCACAACTTATATTTTTAATCAGCATCAGTATTTTCTTGAGCTGATTGTCCACATCCTGGTCCTGTCACCTTAATTTCAGAAAAATTCGTATTATCCACATTGCGGCAATCGCAGAATCATAAGGAATTATCTAATATTTCATAATATGAGGAAAACTTAACAAACATATATTTTAAGTGATTCTAATATATTTTCTTTATATATATTTAAGATTGGAACTTCACTCGGAGAGCGGAAATAACAAGCCAGAACTAATATTCATGGACCAAGTAGAGGACATTTCATCTGAGTTTATTTTACACAAAAACGAAAATTGCATTCAAATTCGCATTAATGATGGTAGTCGAGATGGTAGGATTGTTTTAACGAACTCTGTAAGAAATTCAAAACTATTATATTTTAAACTGTTATAAAAATACCAATAATGTTTTTTCAGGATGAAATCGGATTAAAGGAATGGGCGTCATCTTTGAGATCCGCGCACAAAATGTCGCAAGATCTCTTAGGATCAATGGCTAAAAAAGCTGGAAAAATTTATGGTAGTGAACGAGATGCCAACAAATCTATATATATTTTAGGGGTAATTGTTCAACGAAATCGTCTAATGGGTCTAATTAATTATTTAACAATTTATGTACAACAATTACTGCTATGTAAAACGATGTAGAGGTATACACAATGGAAATAAATTTGGAGAGATTCCTAAAAACCCACCTCATCTTTAAATTTTTAATTTAAAAATATATTATATTATTATTATATTGTTAATAGAAATGGGTTTGCCTTAAAGCTCATAGTAAACTAGATAGTGAAATTGAGGTAAAGTTCTGTTCTGTTACTGTTCAAGAGCCCTACATAAGGGCTTGTTTCTCTCGTAATTGCTGTGTTTTTGCGTGTTAAGTCCCACATAATTTAAAAATCGGCTATAAAAAGGCACGTGTCGATTGATGTAAGAAATGTATACAAAAATACAATCGTGGTGGTTCAAAAGCTGTGTATAATATGTACACGATGACGAATCGTGGATATATAAATCGTAATGTGTATAATGTATATCGTATATGTATATCGTATATAAATGACGAATCGTGGATATATAAATATGATCCCGAAAAATAAACAGTAATCGAAAACTGGTCAAAAACAACTGGTCATATCGCAATTTTTTCGATAGAGAAAAGGAAGGAAGATTATCATCAAGATAATCATATTTTGGCCATACCACAATCTGAGCTCTTTTTGAGCACCCAAAACATTGAATCGGGGCTATCTTACCTTGAGATATGTCCTCACATCAAATAGTCCTTTTTTGTTCCCAGCTGTACATATAATTGAGTGTTCAACGTTTTTTGACGACGAGAGAAGCTGATTAAGCCTTGTTTTGGAGATACTTTCTTCTGAGTGGCAAAACTGCGAAACTTTTAAAATGTTACAAAATAGGGTTTCAGACGCCTAAGATGTGTTTTTCATAATTTTTCAGAAACTTAAAAATAGTATGTAGATGACTTATTTCATGCTTTTCCCCATATATTGTTGGTCTCAGACTCTTCAATTTAAGTGTACTGGAATAGGATAATACGGCAACACTTGCCAATGATGCGCCCCATGATTAAAAATGCGGTCGTATCACTGTCTTCTTCTATCCATAGGGCCCTTATGGGCATCATTGTCGCATGTTCCATTTAACGGAAAAACAATGATGCGGCCCGTGTAAAAAGGCTAGTAGATAATATACTAAATCATTAGATCTGGGGTGTTCATTTAACAGATGTATAGATGTACATCTAATAATTTAGTATATTATCTACTAGCCTTTTTACACCGGGCCGCATCATTGGATTTTTCCGTTAAATGGAACATGCGACAATGATGCCCATAAGGGCCCTATGGATAGATGTACATCTATACATCTGTTAAATGAACACCCCAGATCTAATGATTTAGTATATTATCTACTAGCCTTTTTACACCGGGCCGCATCATTGGATTTTTCCGTTAAATGGAACATGCGACAATGATGCCCATAAGGGCCCTATGGATAGAAGAAGACAGTGATACGACCGCATTTTTAATCATGCGGCGCATCATTGGCAAGTGTTGCCGTATTATCCTATTCCAGTACACTTAAATTGAAGAGTCTGAGACCAACAATATATGGGGAAAAGCATGAAATAAGTCATCTACATACTATTTTTAAGTTTCTGAAAAATTATGAAAAACACATCTTAGGCGTCTGAAACCCTATTTTGTAACATTTTAAAAGTTTCGCAGTTTTGCACTCAGAAGAAAGTATCTCCAAAACAAGGCTTAATCAGCTTCTCTCGTCGTCAAAAAACGTTGAACACTCAATTATATGTACAGCTGGGAACAAAAAAGGACTATTTGATGTGAGGACATATCTCAAGGTAAGATAGCCCCGATTCAATGTTTTGGGTGCTCAAAAAGAGCTCAGATTGTGGTATGGCCAAAATATGATTATCTTGATGATAATCTTCCTTCCTTTTCTCTATCGAAAAAATTGCGATATGACCAGTTGTTTTTGACCAGTTTCCGACTAAACAGGGACTTGACTTAAAATGGTTCGTTTTGAAAGTTGTTATGGTATTTGACTCGCTTTTACAAAATCCATACCGTCGATTACTGTTTATTTTTCGGGATCATATTTATATATCCACGATTCGTCATTTATATACGATATACATATACGATATACATTATTCACATTACGATTTATATATCCACGATTCGTCATCGTGTACATATTATACACAGCTTTTGAACCACCACGATTGTATTTTTGTATACATTTCTTACATCAATCGACACGTGCCTTTTTATAGCCGATTTTTAAATTATGTGGGACTTAACACGCAAAAACACAGCAATTACGAGAGTAACAAGCCCTTATGTAGGGCTCTTGAACAGTAACAGAACAGAACTTTACCTCAATTTCACTATCTAGTTTACTATGAGCTTTAAGGCAAACCCATTTCTATTAACAATATAATAATAATATAATATATTTTTAAATTAAAAATTTAAAGATGAGGTGGGTTTTTAGGAATCTCTCCAAATTTATTTCCATTGTGTATACCTCTACATCGTTTTACATAGCAGTAATTGTTGTAAATTGTTGTACATAAATTGTTAAATAATTAATTAGACCCATTAGACGATTTCGTTGAACAATTACCCCCTAAAATATATATAGATTTGTTGGCATCTCGTTCACTACCATAAATTTTTCCAGCTTTTTTAGCCATTGATCCTAAGAGATCTTGCGACATTTTGTGCGCGGATCTCAAAGATGACGCCCATTCCTTTAATCCGATTTCATCCTGAAAAAACATTATTGGTATTTTTATAACAGTTTAAAATATAATAGTTTTGAATTTCTTACAGAGTTCGTTAAAACAATCCTACCATCTCGACTACCATCATTAATGCGAATTTGAATGCAATTTTCGTTTTTGTGTAAAATAAACTCAGATGAAATGTCCTCTACTTGGTCCATGAATATTAGTTCTGGCTTGTTATTTCCGCTCTCCGAGTGAAGTTCCAATCTTAAATATATATAAAGAAAATATATTAGAATCACTTAAAATATATGTTTGTTAAGTTTTCCTCATATTATGAAATATTAGATAATTCCTTATGATTCTGCGATTTCCGCAATGTGGATAATATGAATTTTTCTGAAATTAAGGTGACAGGACCAGGATGTGGACAATCAGCTCAAGAAAATACTGATGCTGATTAAAAATATAAGTTGTGAAGAGTGTGGGTAAATCGTATGACTGTTATAGCCTTTTTACACTGGGCGCGTCTGCTATCGATATCGGCATAGACGCAATGAAGCAGAAAAGGCGTTTACATTGGAAGACGTGCGTCTTGAATTTGGATTTGGGTGTTTGATGACAAGGAAAGATACACAAATTTTTGAAAATCAACAGAATTAAGCAAGACGTCAGGAAAATGGACGAAAAAGAATTGATTCTCATATTTAAATATTATTTTCAGACATTTCATTGTAGAGTTTGTGGGAGTTCTTCTTCAAATTATGAAAACCACCGAAGTTCGTCTCCAGCAGTGTCTTAATGGCATCAGGGGGTCAGAAAAATTTCATATGATAATAATACAATCAGTTTCAAGTATTTTATTTAATGACTTTATGTATATTTTCACCTTTTTGCACAATCATACAGTTTTAGCGCCAAAATTTGATTTTTGATCTACAATTTGTTGTTGTTATTAGTGGTGATAGTTGCGCTGATAGGCAGAAAATACCAAAAATGAGCAAAATCAATCGAATATACCGAATAGACGCACATGAATCAGACACTGACGCAACTTTTTGCCACCACTAGGGCCCTATGCTTAACCTATGTAAAAAAAACTGCGTCTTCGCCAAGACGCAAAGAAGCATGACGCAGCCCCAGTGTAAACGGCCTATTACATGCATATACATAATGCTGGGCCAAAATTTGATGAACAATTTTATTGTTTTGTTTTTTCAAGCGGACTTTCTGTTCGTTATTAAATAAAATTTTAAAAATGTTTTTCGTCGGTCTTTTCAAATAATATGAAACTTAGAAACTAGTTCATATTGATAATAATTATTTTTTTTTAGTCACTGTTAAAAAATTAACGGTTGGTGAATATCAAGAAGTTCAGCTTTGGTTGATATATTTAGTTAACTAGTTCGCAAAAACTTGTGCAGGTTTTTTTACTGCCAATAACTAATTAATGCCGATATTAATGGTATCACAATATATATGAAACAGATTTCACCACATGAAAGAAAAAAATGTTTGAACTTTTTTGTTTCAAAAATTTTGTAAAATTCGGTAGCAACCTCTAAAAAGTTTTTTTAAATAAAAATAAAAACTTTAATATTACTATCAAACTCAAGATAACAAAATAAAGGGGTGTCCCGTTTAAATTTCAAAAAAACATTTTTTTAGCTGAACCTAATATATGTACATCTATACATCTGTTAAATGAACACCCCAGATCTAATGATTTAGTATATTATCTACTAGCCTTTTTACACCGGGCCGCATCATTGGATTTTTCCGTTAAATGGAACATGCGACAATGATGCCCATAAGGGCCCTATGGATAGAAGAAGACAGTGATACGACCGCATTTTTAATCATGCGGCGCATCATTGGCAAGTGTTGCCGTATTATCCTATTCCAGTACACTTAAATTGAAGAGTCTGAGACCAAAAATATATGGGGAAAAGCATGAAATAAGTCATCTACATACTATTTTTAAGTTTCTGAAAAATTATGAAAAACACATCTTAGGCGTCTAAAACCCTATTTTGTAACATTTTAAAAGTTTCGCAGTTTTGGCACTCAGAAGAAAGTATCTCCAAAACAAGGCTTAATCAACTTCTCTCGTCGTCAAAAAACGTTGAACACTCAATTATATGTAAAGCTGGGAACAAAAAGGGCCTATTTGATGTGAGGACATATCTCAAGGTAAGATAGCCCTGATTCAATGTTTTGGGTGCTCAAGAAGAGCTCATATTGTGGTATGGCCAAAATATGATTATCTTGATGATGATCTTCCTTCCTTTTCTCTATCGAAAAAATTGCGATATGACCAGTTGTTTTTGACCAGTTTCCGACTAAACAGGGACTTGACTTAAAATGGTTCGTTTTGAAAGTTGTTATGGTATTTGACTCGCTTTTACAAAATCCATACCGT